CACACGTTTTCTACCTCATCTTTACACACGCACACTTTTGATTGCCTCTCAAAGCACACTTCTGCCACGCAAACCCATGAGCGGGTTGGGGGTGGGGGGTGGGGTGGGGTGGGTTGCAGTCAGCAACCAGACAGTGTGACTCTGAAGTGCTGAAAGGGTTGCCAAATTGGACACGGTCAACATCTTTACACACACAAACACACGTTTTGATTGCCTTTCAGAGCACACTTCTGCCACGCAAACTGATGAGCGGGTTGGGTGGGGGGTGGGGGGTGGGGCGGGGTGGGTTGCAGTTAGCAACCAGACAGTGTGACTCTGAAGCGCTCAAAGGGTTCATAAGATTGTGTTCATAAGATCGAACACATATATACTAATTAAATATATATATATATGCAGAAGATTGTGTTCATAAGATACTCCCGCGTGCAAAAACGATTGATTCCATCCGCGTGCAAAAACGATTGTTCGAACACGTGCAAAAACGAGCAACCGCCCGTAAGAACCCCTATAGTGTGGACCCACTGTTTGGGGAGCTAACAAATAAACAATACAATATATGCTTGAATGAATCAAAACAATGCTTTGTTTAAACAACATAATGAAATGATATGTAATGTAATGCTTGAATCTAAAGAGCCCACCGAGGTGATACCCTAATGCTTCCGAACAAAAGAGTTGACCTTCGAGTGCTAATTCATATGTAGTGAGGAGTTCTGATAAAATCCAACAACCCTCACCTGGCAGGTGGGGGAAAAATAAGGAATGGACACCAAGATGATGTCCAATCCTCATGTGGATAAGAAAAAGAAAAAGGGCAACGAGCAAACATGATTCAACAAACAATGGGGAGGAGGAACTACATGAGCAACCCCTGCACGCAGGGGCCCTATGTGTAAACAAGAACGTGGCCACAATGTCGATCCTAGAGATACCGTGGCCTCTGATTGTGGGCCGGTGCTAGAGGAAGTTCACGAAAGAATGACGGAGGACCCATGGTTAAAACCTGCTTCTTTAATTCACTGGTATGCCGGTATATGCCGGTATGCCAGTCTTCCGCCAGATATGTCAGTCGGGGGTTTGCCCCAGTGCCTGGAAGAAGAAGTGCCTGGTATACTGCCCTGGGACGCCCAACACTCTCCCTGCATCTCCCGGCCCTTCGACCCACCACGGCACCAGTCAGCGATGGACATGACGCCACGGAATTTCTTCCCTCGGCGATGCGGCGGCACGAAGCCACCCGAGACGAAGGCATTGGTGCGCACGGCACCCTCCCAATCGCTGTATTTTCCACCTGCGGACCAGCGGCTTCAGCATCGCGGTCCGCATCGCAGAAGTTGGGAACATGTTTCACATTGGGGAGCAGCATTGAAGCTTCGACCGACACGGGGGGAAGAGTGTCACTTCCAATCCGACAACAGCTACATGTGCCTGGCCCCAAGGCCGCGTCCGAAGCTCCAAAAAAACCGGCCTTTGAGAGGATTGTTGTTGGCGGAACCTGGCTCATAGACAGGTCCTCCATTGTCAGCCGTGAAGACAATGAGGGTGTTGTCATACATGGTACCACTACCATCTTGGCCTGAATATTGCTGCCGACATGCCGAAACCAGATCCTTCAGAACTCGGATTTAAAACATACACAAGCATTCCGGACACTCCCGAAGAACAAAGAATGGATTCACCAAAAGAGGCCAGAATCAAAACAACCGATTCACCTTGGATCATCCTGTCTGGGTGTCCATAGCTCCTGTCAGCCCCCGTGGGCTGGGCGGCGACAAAAACGGAAAAACACCACCGCTGCCGGGCGACGCCGTTGGAGCTCTTTGATCACCCGACCGATCATGGTGTCGAGGTACAAGGTCATGCCCGCATACAGGCGACGGTTTTGAGTCCATGGAAGTTGCTGCTGGCCGCTGGCATTGGCCAGTTTGTCAATCTCTTCCAGGTACGAATTTGGAAGCTGCAAGGGAGTGTGCAGCAAATGGAAGGCGTAGAAAAGGAAGAGAGGTGAGTCTTGATCTGTCAGATCGTGCTCCTTCCGATGCGACCCTCCCTCCAGAAATAAATTGAAGGACTTGACGACTCCATATTTGTTTGTTGGCAACCACTGTCATCCAAACATACAAAAACGAACAGTTTGTATCCCAAGTAAACTGTAAATAGAACAAACATGGGTTACAATGGTTGGCAAATTGGCAAATGCTACCAACAGTAGCACTGGCTCATGTTTTGTTCCATGTCAGTGCGTCTCCTTGATGACTTGAAGTGCCCGAGCGTTGAACATGGCCTCCTCATAGCATGAGTCCGGCAGGCAGTAGTCTGGATCTTCAAGATTGCCTTGCAGTGGACTTAAGCAAGTTGTGAGCTAAGGCTATAAAGCCATATTTGATGGGCCATCACATGGCAGCAAGGATTGACAAAGCTTCCACAAGCTTTGACCAGACTCCAACAAGAACATCTCTTTGGCAATTCCAGGAGAAGAAGGACAAACACAATAAATCACTAAGGACCTAACATTCCTTTTTCACTGACCCGTTTCTTCAAAACCACCCACGGACGCACACGGACGCACACGTCGCCCGCGATCCGCCACCAAAACGGTGGCGAAACGCTCCAAGACAACGGTCTGACCCACGGTCTTCCAGCTAGTAGCTTCTTGTTCCTAGTAGCGTCTAGTAGAAAGGCACTTGTTACTAATAGCTTCTTGTTACTACTAGTAAGGCACTTGTTACTAGAAGCGATGCACTTGTTCCTCACGTGGTGTGAACACTCTAAAGGAGGATCCTGAGGACCCCGAACCAACCCGGTCACCTTTTCCCGAAACAACCCGGTCACTTAGGGCCCTCTTCAGGGTCTGCCAAGGTACAGCCTGTAGCATTCACCTGTGGTTGGATGTTTGGTTTCCTCATGCTGTGGCGAACACTCTGGTCGCAGCCCAGCTCAGCCGCAATCTCTTCAATCACTGGACCATGGTACGTGTCGTTGTAAAAGGAGAAATCACGGAACCTACGTGCTGGAGGTGTGTCCAAAAATCACCAGGAGGACCAGTGCTTGAGGAAACATGAGGAAACGATTCACCGAACGGAACCGACGTGAATCCTTGTGGGGCCAAACAAATCGGAAAAAACAAAACGAAAAAAAAAAAAAACAAAAAAAACTTGCCGCATTTGGACCAAGCGTGGCACTCATTGAGACACACATCCAAATTTCCCGTGGAGGCCAAAGGCATACTTTCTTGCCAATAGTCATTGGCATGCTGAAAATAGCCCAACCAAGTGTCATAGCCTTTGCCCAAAGGTGAGTGCTCAGGCGTTGCCATGCCTGCATCCCATTTGCCCACCATGTGAGTCTTGTATCCTCCAGCCTTCATCTTCTTGGCCACACCCGTCATGTTGCGTGGGATGCCCGCAAAGCCTCGCGTCACGTCACGCAGTTCACGTCATGCAGTTCGCTATAGTTCACTATACCCGACAGATCCAGTTCGACCGACTTAAAGAAGCAAAAGTCTTTAAAAGAAACCATATTGCAGTCTTTACATGACAAAATGTTATGGTATATACAAACAGTATAATATATAATATAGTTAACATAAGCTGGTCATTCATAACAGTGTAGTAGAACACAACATGAACCTAACGGCAAGCTGTGCCTGATATAAGTTCAGGTTGCATGGCTCAACCACTTCCGTGCCCAAAAGAACACGCATCACCGCGCCTGACACGTTGTCTCCTGGGTTCCAATATGTCACTCCTGTGTTCACCGTGTTCACGTGCACTGCCAAACGTCCGGTCTGCAAGCTGCATCGCGAAGGCGAGCAAATCTTGTAGGCATAGTGACGCTCGAGCAGGATGCCATTGTCGACCAACGAGTCCATGTTGGGCGTCTGCACCTCGAAGCATTGCAGCATTGCGCCGACGCGAGACGAGGCGACGAGGGGGCGTGAAGCGTGAGAGCGCTGAGAGCGTCCAGCTTCCGTCCACCCAGAATTGGACTACCCGACTTGTTCAGGTTTCCATTTCTTCAAAAAGAAAGAATGCCCACTAGAAACCTTCTCCATAACTCGCCAGGAACCAGGAAGATTCAATGAAATGGACCTTTGGCGTTTCGAGAGTTTCGTCGGTCCCGCCTCTGCTTGGGCCTGGCGATCCTCTGCAGTCGCGGAAGACAAACGATGCTTGCCAAAGTTGGCCCAACCATAGTCGTCCGCGAGGATCAACAGCACATGGGGCTTGCGTTGTGGTGAGGGCGTCTTACGCTTCCCCTGGATGAAAGAGGAGTCTGTAGCCTCACCCTCACAGGATGAAGCTGATGAAGCCCCACACTGCTCGCACGTCACTAAAGACACCAACGTCACCACCAAAAGGGCACGCAGCATGGCGGGACGATTTTTGTGACTTTGGAACAAGTGGCAGCCAAAAGAAACTGCGGAGAAGTTGAGACTGGAATGAGGCGGCAAGTCATGCCAAAAGAATCTTGTTAATGCAAGCAGTTGTGTTGTCCTTTGCACCATGCGATACAGTCTTCTGCCGTGAACTTACAGAAACACACACACACACACCCCGGAGCAGCTTGCAGGGGAGGGATCCTCCCAGGTTTTACACGCAGACTTGGAACCAGGCAAGCGTCATATATATATATATTCATTCTATATATACCATGACCATCAGAAACCTACAAAATTGTAGGTCGGCATTGAATAACCTGGCTTTCACCAAGAAACCTACAAACATATACGTTATTTCCTCTCGATGTCAAGAACCCGTATTTTCTCATGCATCCTGGCATGTACTATTCCATGTATCCACAGAAGACCATTGGAATTCAATACCACTTCAAAGTGACACAAACCAGGTGTATCACGTCACGTCTTGGCAATTGAGCGAGTGCTGCAACGTACATTGGCAGTGGCGCACATGCATTGGACGAAGTCAGGATTCTTGAAGGGCTGAAAGATAAAAAGAAAAAGAGTTCTCTGTGCGCGAAGGGGGTGCAAATTGTGGCCATGAAAAGGATGTATATTTAAGTTGATTAATTTCAGTGATTTTGCCACATTGGCAAACATCCCATATGTTCAAGAACCTGGTTCTTGAATGAAGAACCTGGATATCGCCCGGGGCCCTCCATTTTCTCAAGCCTTCGTTGGTTCTGGTACATATATATATATATATTGGATGGTAATCTATATACACCTCGCCTGATGTGTGGCAGCCTGGCTTTCTTGGTCTCGAAAGCAAATTCTACGCGAACATCTTCGTTTGCACCATATCAGTCAGTCAAAAAAGCTTACTATCCTTCCGACAACACCTCTCACACCCTTTTGTCAAGGCACGGGAAGACCAGGTCACTTGACAAAATCACTGGCCTTGATCTTTTGTCAGGGCCAAAATAAAGTTTAGCAAAGTGCCAAGGGGCCCGATTACCGAGCCACAAACCTGTCACCCTGCTCAAAAGAAACACCGGTTGCCCAAACGAGCACGAGCCGGCAGGCCTTGGGGCCTGGTGCTGCCCACGTGAACTACGCATCAACGCCAACTCAAAATTGTTGACCTAAAACTCAGTCAAGCTACAACTGTATTTAAAAGAACCCCTCACTTCGGATATGCGAAGATAAACTCGCACGGACAGGGTTCTTTAATGTTCTTTACAGTTCTTTGCATACACATCTGGCGTCGCTCAGCACTAGTCCTCGTTTGTGCACTGGTCCAAAGTCATGTTGGGAGACTGCTTAAACAATTCAACCAGCTCAACCAGGCCAGCTTGCTCCGTGATCCTCTCAATCACAGCCTCCTGAGGGACACGGTGTTCAAAGCTATGAAAAGGCCGTTGTTCAAGTGGTGCCATGCTAAGGGTAGAAAAGGAGTCATATCGTTTCTGGGCAGGTATACCAGTCATATGCTATTTGCCTATTTGCCTGGCACATGGATTCAAACCCACAACCACACACGCACGTACTCACACACAGTCACACACAGTCGCATCAACCCCGTCTCCAGATGGTTGTCCAGGCTGTGGTTGAGTCGCCGGAACTGCTCCTTCATCGCCTCCGCGACCGCTTTTTGTCTCGCGTTCAATTCGAAGCCCTCGTAGAAATCTTCGGCGTCCACGAAGGGACCGTAGAAACCACCCAAATCGGCACCCTGATCACAAGCTTGTAGTGCTGGCTCGCCTCGATTTGGATTGAAATTCTGCATGTTCTTCCAATAGAGCCTGGCTGGAGCAAAGGTTAGGAGCAAAGGTTGGGTATGTTGTTCATTCGAGTCATGCCCCTGTCTCCACAGTTTCTTCACTCCTGTGTGATGCATGTGTGTCATTGTTTGTCAACATATGCCAGCTACAAAAACTGAAGATACAGCATCTAGGGTCCGTACTTCATTTGCATTTTGAACAATTGGTTTGCGTAGGCTGGATCTTGTGAAAGGTCATTGTGCTCGGTGGGGTCCACTTCCACATTGAAGAGACAGCCGCCATCCCCACAATCCTCCGCAAAGGTGTATGCATCCTGCTGCGTGGTGTTGTCACTGAGGGGCACTGGGATGCCAAAGACGTGCATATCAGAAAAGAAGGGTCCATCCTTCAGATCCTGCGGAGAGATCAACCGTCGTTTCTTGCGACGCAAACTTGAAGTTTCTCGAAGTGGGTGGATGTGGGGATGGGGATGGGATTCATGGGGTTCCTGATTGACTTCGGAGTCTGTATATATATTGTCATTCCACGTCCAACATGCCAAGTGCACAAGTTTCCTTGTAGAAAATACATGAACATTGTGACGTCCTTGACTGTGACGCTGCAATTGGGATATATGGTGCCTTGCCAGAAGCTGTAAGGTTGCGTGCCGGTGACCAACTTGTATGGCCACCAAAGTAGCGCATTGGCACTTAAGTGCAATGGGTCCTGGCACGTCACAAGCGAAACAACACCATAGATCATGCTCTAACATGTAAAGGTCCTAGAACCTAGAGCCTCGACGATGAAGCCGGTTTTGATCAGAATCTGAGGTGGTATTGCGCCTTATTCCCAGTCTTGGAAGAAAATGGGTGCGTCATGTCGGGAGCGTTCCGCGCCGGAACAAAAGTGACGTCTGCGTGAGACTCGTGAGACTCACCATTGAAGTCGGCTCTTGATTCAAAAAACCTCCCAGTAATTTCGAGGCTTGACCTTCAACTCTTGACTTCGCTCGCTGTTCTGTACAGCTGGCACAGCTGCAACGCTTGACACGGCACATGTGGAACGCTTTCGGCACTGCACTTGAACGAAGGGGGATCCTTCCGGAGCGCGAGGGGTAGAAGAGGTTTTACAATCCAAGCCTGGGATCCAAAGATTGAAATTATTTGGGATCCAACTGTACTACAGTATATGCCTTCAAAATAGGCTCACATAGGGAGCTTAACGATGCCAAATCAGTTCAAGATCTTTGGAATATATATGGCAATGGTTGCGCAGATCGAACTGCGGTCCAAACACGTAAGACCGACCTACCTGATGTCGACGTCTTCTGCCAAGATGTACAAAAACACTACCATGATGAACATCACATTCACAAATATATATGTATATATATATATAAAGACTCCCTGAGTTCTCCTTCTTTTTTACCGCAATGCAAGACCTTAGTAGTCAAATAAAGTAAAGGGAACTTGTCCAAAAAATTCGATTGAAGAGGCCCCTGCCTCTGACTCCCCCCACTGCTCCCCCGCCAGGCTGGGGTGAGCGTGAGCCAAGAGTCCAGGGTGGTCCCGGGCCCCGCCAGACCGGGGGACATCCGGACCACCACCCTCATTTCAGATCATCCCTTGATCTTTTTCATCCTTCCGCCGGCGGTATTGAATTCAGAAAAAATTCACTTCTTTACGCGTTTGCGCTTCTGTCTCTGGTTCCTTCCACGTCCCCCTGGCCCACCATTTGGGTGAAGCTCAAGAGTTTGTAGCGGGACGCGGAGAGATTTCTGAAATTGCCGCTGGTAGGCTTGGGCTGTGCTATTAAAAGCCAATTTGAGTTCAGCGAGAACGGCTGAACCTTCGTTAATGTAAATTCTGGCCGTTTTGCTAGAGGCCCACCTCCCCTGAACCAGGAGGCGGTCCAATGAGCCGTGTCGGCCGAAATACAAAGTGGCCCCGTAAGGCTGCAAGGCCGGAAATCATAACTGTCTAGCTGACAGGCTAAAAGGCACTCATTAAAGGTCTTTCGCCAGGAATGGGGTGTTCCACATAGGGTCGCCGGAGTATGAGGTGTGTTCAACCACTGCCAAAGTCTCCTCAAAGTGTCTTCTTCCCGAATTGTGACACTTTCAGCAGCTCCAGCCCTCTTTCCGCCCTTTGTAAGGCCTAGGGAGATCACTGCTGGGCTACGAGGGCCTGACTGGACAACATGCGCTTTTTTCACCCCAAGGGGCTCCCCGGTGCGCAGGAGCCCATGGAATCCCAGGAGCAAAGAAAGGGCAAACAGTGGCTTGTCACTGAATAAAGCGTAACCAGCTAAGACATGAAGTGCGTCTAGAGGAAGTGGTGGTGCGCGGTTTGGTAGCTCATTGGACAACCATGTTTTCAAGAGCCACCTTGCGCTGGGTAAATGTCCACGAAGAAATGGATGAAAGTCTTGAACCGCTGCGGCGGTATCACAGGCGAGCGCCCTACCCTCGCCAGTCTCCCAGAGGTTTTCGATGTAGTGTGAAAGAACATAGTCCTGGCCCGCGGCATCCCGGCAATAAGGTCGGTTCTCTTCTCGAAGAAAATTGCGATAGCGCTCCATAGCTTTGTCATAACGTGCTCTAGTTTTGCTTTGGACTGTCAAATTTTGAAGTGGTCCCAATCTTCGCCTTTGCGCTTGCCTTGCTGCTTTACTCCTACCTTCTAAGTGAGCTCCTAGCTTCTTCACCATTTCTTCTTGACCGGCCGCCTCGAGGGGCGGTCTGCTGGGTTTTGTGAAGTATAGACATACGCCCATACTCCATGACTCCCCGAAGCTTGGAGTAAAGCGTCAATTCGACTCAGGGTCCTTCTCATCTTCCGGCTGCTGCTCCGACCCCGAGCCAAACAATGCAAGCGCACGAGACTATCGATCATATGCACCATCTTCGTTCGAAAAGCGCGTACAGGTGATCCTGACCATCGCCACCCCATGACCGTGCGCCACCTCCACAGCTTCGCCGGAAGTGGTATGGTAGCGAAGAGTATGTTCGGACGGCGCCTGCAGCATGATGTCCTCCCCCTTGAAACCAGATTCAGGAACTTCTTCACAAGGGTTTGCTCCCCGGTTGGCGAGCCATGCTTCCTCCCCGATTGCATAGGAGGTCTATAGACTAGCCCTGCTAGCTAAAACAAGAACCCGGAGCTGTTCTGTCGACAGCCTGTTGAGGTGAAAGGAATGAGCACAACCCCAACTGTCCTCCAAGCTGCGAGATCAGCCAAGTGACGACTGTGACATTCCACGAGTTGCCAATCAAGGTACGTTTTTCTTTCATCCAAGTGTTGAGGCGACCCTTGCCATTGCTTGGGCATGCATTGCATAGTGTAGTCCTTGGGAAAGCCCATATATATAATCACCTCTCTCTCTTGAATGTCCGGTAGCCGCGGCTGCGTCTTCGCATCAACGATCATGAGCTTTTCTTGATACTGGTACGGCGGGAAGCGGAATGAATCCTCCTCCCACCAAAGCCTCTCCTGAGGGCTCAACTTGTCCAAACCTGCTGGCCTCCTACCTGCATAGTTCCTCGGCCTCGATGTAGTGAAAGTTGGGAATGGTTCAGTGGAAGCTTTGCTGCATCCTGGCTGCAAATAGCTCTGTGTTGTCACTTCTGCCATGAGCTCGATCTTCCTGAAAGTCGAGTCACCTGAGCCTTCAAGTGGCCCCACGGAGACTCCATGACCTGACCTCAAATCCCAATTACACCAATACAGCCTTGGTCGCCGAGCAAGGGAAACGCCACTAGCATCTATTTGAGCTGGTAAGTCTCCAAAAGACATCGTCATAACTTTTCGGTCTTGGGAGTCCGCCAGGTAGCGTACCTGGGCCCATTTGAACTTCTGCCTAACCAGCTCCCGGATGCGCTCGACGTGAATGAACAAGGAGCTACGGTGGTCCCGTAACGCTCCCCGGCGATCGGCATTCAACCCACTCACACCTTGGCACGGAGGGGCCACGTCACCCTCCAAACCCCTACAGACGTTGTTGCATGGCCCCAGATCCATGATGAGTCTGTGTACGGGTATCCCATTCACGATCTCGTCTTTCTTGACCCCAAACAGGCCGTTCAAAAGCGGTTGCCCATCAATGTGGTAGACCTGGCTCTTTGGAAAGAATGGTGCACACCCCATTCTTTGTCAACCCTTCGCAAACTTCTCGCCAATGATCATCGTGTACTAGAACCCGTGGCCCCTATGGCATGCTGCATCTCCCCGGGAAGGAGATACTCAGTAAAGTTTTCGACATATAGTGTCTACACCCCAACTCACACACCTCAGCCAGCTCAACGGAGGCTATCTCGGCTGGCATAGCTGGTGCCAAGTTGGCCCAACTCGTCGACTGGGCGCAGAGAACTTCATCCCCGCAGTAATCGATGGTCTGCCACGAAGTCTGCTCAACCTGAAGTGAAGTGGGGTGGAAGTCATTCTCAGCGGCCACCCCATAAAATAGATTCAGCGCCAAGCACATTCCTCTAACCATTCCAGCAATGGTGATGTCCCTTGAGTGCAACGTGTTGGTGAGCAATGGAAAAACATCACCCTTGGGCTGGTTCTTGCATCGCTTGTCCAAACCTACCTTCGGACACAGAAGAACCAACTCGTTCACTAACCAAGGGACGACCTGAACCAAACTATCCCCTGCCACCGGCGGCTGCGTGCAATCTTTTTCCGCAGACGAGGTCATCAACGAGGTCTCATCCGCAGGGAGGCGTGAAGGATCGGCCGGAGTACCCAGCCAGACGCCTCGGTGTAGCTCCAGCTTCGTCGACATGACTGCTTGGCCTCAGAGCTGCAAAAAGCTTGCCCTCCTCTTCAAACGGGGCATCATAGTTTGAGGGCGGACTCCCTCCTGTACCTGGCAATGGCAACACCTTTCTTCTCATTTCTTTTGATCTCCTTTGTCCTTGCCTCGCTTGCCTTTCCCCTTTGCTTCTTTGCCTTTTCCTTCGCTGCCATAGTCTCGCCACTGCCAGTTGTCCGACTTGCTTTTGCCCTTGGATGCTTCGTTGCGGGTGCGCTGCTCTTCTTTTTGTTCTCGGATTGCCTCTTTGGCTTCCCCCCTTGATGAAAGGAGGGGTCTTTCCGGTGGCAATACCTCGAGTCGCTGAGCGATTTGCCACGCAGATCCCAGCGAGACCATCTCCACAGACTTCAACCTCTGAACCAAGGCGTCGACGCATTCGGCCATCCGGCCTTGTAAGGCCAGATCGATGGCCCAGCAAAGGGTGAGCCCTTCGCGACCTGGCCCGCCTTGGAGGCGAGGTGCCAACGACTGGCGGTAGTATTGGCATGCCAGAGGTTGTATTGCCGTCTGATCTTGGTGCCATACTCCACCTGTTGCTGTGAGTAGGCTGGTCTGCCCGCATGGCTAGAGCCGCTAGGACCCCGGGAGCTCGGCGAGATAGTCGACGAACCTTCTGCTGCTCCTCGAAGACTTCCACGGACTCTGAGGTGCTTGTCTCGTCGCTGCCCGAACTCCCCGACGAAGAGGAGTCCTTCTTCTTCTTCTTCTTTGTCTTCTTTTGAGCTTTCATAGCGTAGCGGCGGCGATAGCGGGGGTCTGGATCTAGGCCTGTCCCGCCAAACACTTCCTTCAGTTCTTTGTGAGCCCCTGCCTTCAAATCGATCTTCTCTTTGCTCTTCTCTGGGCTTTCGCCTCGACCTTCGCTCGTCTTCCTCTTCTTTTCTCCTTCTTCTTTTCTGCTTTCTCCTCTCCAGTGGCCGCCTTTGCACCACTCCCTTTGCTCGCTCCCTCTCCTCTCTCCCCGACTAGGAGAGGCTCTGCTCGCACGTCCTCTGGTTTGGGACCTCCTCGATCAGGTTGGCCATCCATGGATCGTCCTCGCCCGTTCTCTTTTGGATGAGGGTCCCATGAATGAGGTCCTCCGCCTCCAGCCTTTGTGGGCACTTGTCTCCACAGAGGTGGACCCTGAGCTTCTGTCCGCTGTGGCCTGTGGCCCACTTGAGCAACGACTTCTTCGCATTTCACCTTCTCACCTCTTTCAAAGCTCACTCCTGTAGCAGCAAGGCGCAATGCCTCACCTTCCACTTCACCGTCACCTTCTGCCCGTCCAGCCTCTCTCGCAACTGGCCTTCTCCTCAATGCCCCTCCCCGTGCAGGAGGTGCTCTTTCCACAGCAGCTGGCCGGCGCCGAGGTGGCATCGCCTGCTATAGCTCTCAAAGATTGTCTCCTTGAGCCCGGTAATAATGCCTTTCACGCTTCTTTGCACCCTTGTTCTCACCAAAGAACCTTGGCTGTAACTTCCACGAAGGTGGCCTTCCGTCCGTTTGACCGCTGGCCTGATAATAGGCGGGGTCCTTGCAGGAGGATTGTTCCTCCCCGAAGGTGATCTGGATGGTGTACGTGAAGGTCGAACTGAAGGTCTTGCTCTCAGATCGGTCGGCGCTGGCTCTGCCTCTCTACAAAGGGGTTCGCTTGCTGCCTCGTCTCTCGAGCTCCTTCTGCGTCTTCTCCGAATGCTTGAACGAGTCTTGCTAGCTCTCTTCTTAATTGTCTCGTCTCTGCTTCGTGTCCTACTTCTCCTCCTTGCGGCTGATCTCGGTCTCGATGATGGCCCTTCGAGGAACTGGTATGCTTGCCTTCTTCTTCCGCCTCTGCTGGACTTTCCTCCTTCTTGATTGGACTTTTTGT